ACAGTTTGTTTCGACTGAGTCACAACTAGCCGACCTATTTACCAAACCACTCCCCAGTGAACGTTTCTTGCAAATTTTCACGGAACTAGGGCTCAAATCTGCATGTCAAATTAGAAATCTATCTCACTAAATCTTGATTGGCCCTCTCTTCTACTCTACATAGTTGGCGTGTCTTGATTTAGCAAATAGACGCCTTTTTATCCATGCTTGCATTGTTCCAAGACAAATCCATGGAAGCTGCCAAATCCATGGAAGCTGCCTTCTAATCATTACACTTTTCCTTGCCTTTTCCTGCGGGAAACTCTTCGGCTTCCATCCGCTCCTCTCTTCTCTCAGCCTATATAAATCTTCTCCCTTCTCTTCTCTTCTCTTCTCCTCACACTATTCTAGCAACTAAGATCATCCAAACTCAGAGAGAATTTCAGCCGTTCAGAATGAGTGATTATATGCCTCGTCCTTTTCGTTTCGATGGGTTGGTTCATACCTTCTCAGGATACATGTTCCATGAGCCCAGGGTGTTGAACCATCATCGGTATCTCCAGCATTTTGACAAGAGAAGGCTACATCACATCACCCAACTTGACCCTTATGAGTTTAATGTCTATAAATATGACATTATCTCTCTCATCTAAGGGCTTGGGTGGGACTTCCTTCTTCGACAACCTATTCATCCTGCTTGTCCAAGAGCTGTCAAATACTTCTTCTCAAATCTCCAGAGTCCAGGTGTAAGCTCGAGGAGGTTCACCACACTGGTTTATGGTCACCTATTAACCATACCAGTAGAGGCTCTTAATAGTATTCTCGGCTTCCCATCTCAGGGGCTTGGCCTGGCTCACCCATCTGAGTTTTGGAAGCATGAGTTCAAGATTGAGGTGGAGTACATCAACTTCTCCACAGAGTCAACTGGTGGCTCTGATGTCCCAATCTCTGTCTCCTGGCTACCTCCAAGGCTGAGGATTTTCCATTACTTCCTCACTCACGTTTTCCTCCCTCGATCCTTCAACCAGGATTGTGTTCTCCCCATGGACCTCTGGATTATTGCTAGTGCCACAGAAAGAAGGAAGCTCGATTTCGCAAGCATCATGTTTGGTCAGTTTCTCCCTGTGGGGGACGAAAATTACAAAGGCCTTCTACCTTTCGGTTCCATCATCGCACGTCTGTTGATCAACCTGGGAGTAGACTTATCAGAGTTTCGAAGCATCTCTTCCACAATGTATGTCAGTGCACTAAACGTGCTAATGGTGCTTGATCTGCCTACTAACATACCTCCTCCTCCTCCTACTTCTGCCTCTCTTCTAGGCCCCCCTCCAAAATCTCATCCTGCTAAGAGGGTCTCCTCTGGTAGGAAGGCCAAATCTGCTGGTGAATCCAGCAAGTCTGGAGATCTTGTGTTTACTATATCCGAAGGTAATACCTCCTCTGATGATTCTGCAGCTTCTGATCCTCCTGCCTAATCCTTCTGTTTCTCTTATCCTTAGGTTGTAGTGCTCGCTGTAATGTTCTCTTGTTTTCTTTTAAGGAGCCTTTTGTTTAGGGGGAATGAGTCTCTTTAGTATCTAGGTGGTTAGTTCCAAGTTTTAGGGGGAATATCTTCGATATTTCCATATTTTGTACTCTCATCTCCCCTGTGTACTTTGTTCCTACGCCTATTGTAATGTCCTTCAATGAATGCATTTATGTTTTTGCTTTGAATTCCTGGTCCACTGGTGTGTTGTCTGTTTATGTTTTTGCAGGTTCTCCAACTTCTCGGACAAAGGGGAAATTGTTGGCTAAAACGACATCGCGTCAGCTCTATTAAAACGGTGTCACTTCAGTACCAAGGAACGAAGGCGTTTTGGTTTCGGATGATATTTCGTCCTTCGCAGTTGTCGTCTCCATCTCGAGCCTTTCATTCTGCAGCCTTGAACTCTTCTCTCGAAAGCTCTGAGAACCATTCTTCCAAAGCACCACCGACTCTATTCAGCATGTAATGATGATCGCTACCAAGAGCGCTTCATAGGAAACTGCTCTTTCAGGGATCTCCTATATATAACGAGTGAGTTCTTCATTTGTAAGTAGCGGTTGGTAGTAAGAGCGATTGGGATTTTGCTTTGTCTATCATCGGCTGTTTAGGGTACCATCCTCAGTAGATAGATCACAAAAGTTGAGAACTGGGTGATCTTGTCTTGGGAAGTTGGGATTGAGTGTCTTTTCGTGTAATCAAAGTGCCAAGTCTCTTGGCTTGGCTAGGGATCAATTTCGATTGATTGTAATTCTGTTTCAAGTTCAATAAAATTATTTCGTTTTCATACTCACTCAGAGCTTACAATTTGTTGAGTTGGTGTTGCATATAGACAATCACATATTGGCAACCTGGACAAATGACACATATCAGTGCCATGAATCTCTATTTGCAGATAGCAGGAAGACCACGAAACCTATCATATAATGTTAAGCTAACAAAATATGTAGTGGAGTTACAACCTTTTTAACATAAATACATAGTGTAATGAAAGCTCAAAACTCTGAGATAGTTGGGGATAAAAGTCATATAGCCGTATTTAGCTTGCTTTTGACAACCTTAAAATTGAGTTCTAGTGTCATGAATCAAGACAAAGTGCACCTACCTGCAATAGAAAAACCAAAGCCTAAGCTGAAAAGAGAAGCTACAGGCCGGTTCGACACTATAAATTTAACTAAACTATCTTAATCATCATACACAATGTAGTCAAAATTACGCTTTTTAAAACTTACAATTTTATGTTTCTAGGTCACTAAAATGATTCTACACAAAATCTTAGTCTTTACAAGTTATGTAGTTAAAAACTCTGCTTTAAAACTTAAAAACTTACGATTTTACGCTTTTAGATCACCAAAACGTTTCTACATAGAAACTCGCTTTTGACTGCGTTGATCATACCTACAGCACAGGTACAATAATATAGGGGGCCTAAAGCTTTCAGGGCATTACTACAACACACCTGTGAAAATGCTTTATTAGAGCCTCAAATTAAAAGCAATTTAAATAGCAGAACCCAGAGCTGGAGGCTACCTTGGGTTACAATGGTTAGAGCATCTCAATCAATGCAATTGCAAAATAAATTGCATTTTTTTTATTGTAAACTCAAATTTTTTGCAATCCACATCACATTCATTTCATTCACCTACATCAATGCAATTAACTTGCAACTGTAAATGTAATTAAATATTATGTTTAAATTATAGGAAATTAAGTAAAGGAGAAAAGAAAATAATATAAAATAAAAAATCCCCATTTTTAGGCTTTTTTTACTTGCATTTGTTGCAAGCTTGCAAATATGCAATTGGTAGCCACATCAATGCAATTGGTTTTGGAATTGCAAATACCTATGGCATGTCATTATGCAATTGAGAATGCAATACCAAACCATTGTGGATGCTGAAACCTCTCGCTCTCATTTGGAACATAAATAATCATGCTTTCCTTTAGTTTTCTAGATGCTACTTTACTTACGACATGATTTGCATCAGATCCTCAGGAACCACCTGCCAAAGCAACTATTAACAAATACTTTCTGGATAATGATCAAGCTTAGAGTGTTATCAATATTTCACATTCAAATATTGTAGGAAAGAAACATATCTTACAGTGACCGGCTTCGATCCCAAATGAACCGATAAGACCTCATGACCCCCTTGCTCCCTTATGCATCTTTGTTTTGCAACTCCAAGAACTAAATGGCTGCGAACAAAAATAAAGCAATGGTGTGAGTTCTCCATGTTTGTATCCAGCCCAAATTTATGCCAGCAATAGATAGACCATCACAAAACAGTCGGTAAATCCTCTGCATACTTTATAGAAACTGAGAAATATGTAGCAGAAGACACGTGTAAGAAGTACAAACTACGAGCTTCACCAAAGAACATGTTTCAGAAGTTGCACGCCAATGGCTTAAGCAAAATAGCAGTTCAAAATCATTCATTCATTTTGTTTTCTTCTGATTCTAACTCGGAGATCAAACCTAAAAAGAAGTCCCTTATTCTTCACAAAGGTGTCGATGATGTCAACCAAAGCAATTAAAAGAATGAAAAAAATCAGCTTAATCTTTCAGAAAGTTATTTAGCTTATTTCAATCTCAATTGGCTAGTATCCTAAGTGAATTGCTTAGCCATATTATTTCTCGAATCTGCAGTCCCATTAGAGGATGAAGAAGTCAGTGAAGAAAGCAGAGGATATAAAGAGAATAAATAACGGTTCGATTTCTCACCTGCATGAAACCTTGGAGGTGTTGGATTGGTGATTTCTTGGTTACTCCGCTGCATTTAGTTTCGAGGATAAATAGACGTAGGAGCTTCATCGAGGTGCAACACCTTCTCCCGCAATCCTACTACCCCTTTTAATAACGAAGAGAAAAGCAAATTGCTCACAAAAGAACCCTTTTCCAAAACATCCAGATCATTTATGGAACACACTTGAACATAGATTATTTTGAGATAAAGCTAACAATTACCAGAATTTTTTGGGCGGGTACCCTGTAGCTCACGGGCAACCCAACATAGAGTTTTGTTTGATTTCAAATAGGGCTCTCTCAAGCCTTCGATTTTGCGAAGAGGAAACTGGATTTCCTGGGAAAATTTGTAATAGCCAGTCTCCCGCGGAAAAAATCCCAGAATGCACTAGTTATTAAAAAAATTTCCCAAAATACAGTACTTATGAAAATATTTCCCAAAATACAGCAGTTTGATCATCACCGTTGTCGACAAAGAGAGTGAACATCATCACCGCTGCAAAGAAAAACGGTGAATGTATCACCGTTAGGGGTGGGCATTAGGTTTGGTTTTACTGAACCGAACCGAACAAAATCCGACCGAAACCAAAATATATAAAATTAGGTTCGAAATTCGGAAATGGATATGGTGAATTTCGGGAACCAGACACGTTTGAACCGAACCGAAATACCGAACCTACCGACCGAATTCCGAAATACTAAACTGCCCAACCAACCCAATGCCCAGCCCCGCGGGCCCCAGCCCAATACTCAGCCCAACCTTATTTTCCAGGCCACTCCGCCCCACAAATTGGATTGTGCCTCTTTTTCAGCTCACTCGGCCTGCTGGCTGCTGCTCACTGCTCAGGCCTCAGGCCCTCTACCTCTTCGTCCAACATCCAAATCGCCTACTTAGCTAACCCTAGAGAAAGATGATTTCCGAAATCGCGACGCAAAGGGAAAGGGAACTAGGGAAGCTAAGAAAAAAGGAAGAAGGCGACGAGCCATCGATTACTCCTCTTCCTCCGACCTCCAGACCTCCACTTCACTGTCGTCTGCCCGACAGTCCGACGCCGACGGGCACAACCTGCGGCTGCGAGGCTGCGTCGTTTTCGGTGTCTCCCCGTCCCGGCCCCGACCTCGTCGACGACCAGATCGCCGCCTCGGACAATCCCTCCAACCCAGGCAGGCACCCGCCGTCGCTGAGTCTCCCCAGCCGCCACTGACTCTTCTGCCATTCTGCGAGCCTGCCACCAGAAGACAGAACAAAAGCACAAAAATGGACAATGCATACATTTTCGGTTTGTAGTATAAAACTGAACCGAACTATAATTTGGTTCGGCCAAACCAAACCGAATTATTGCTCGGTTCGAATTCGGTTACGGGATACTATGGTTCGGAAAATCAGTTCGGTTCGGTTCAAACTGAACCGACCGAACGCCCACCCCTAATCACCGTTTTGGACAAAAGCGGGGAAACTATCACCACATTTCTCGTAAACGGTGAAACCTTCACCGCTTCTGTTAAAAACGGTGAATACATCACCGCTGTCGTCCAAAACGGGGATCTTTTACCACGTTTTACAACCCTGGTAGGTTGTAAGTTAGATAACAACGACCTAGCTTTCACCGTCTTGGTCGAAAGCGGTGATGTGTTCACCGCTATTGTCCAGCGCGGTGATTAGGCCCCACATTTTCCTATAAAAACCCATCCCTCAGGTATCTCCAGCTGCCTTACAGCAATTCAGTACGAAATTAGTGCTTTTTTGGTCCTTTTCTCAGTTGGCTTACAGCAACAAGAAACTCACCGGCATTCGGTATGTTATAATTATGTATTGTTTACATGTTGAAGTATTAGTAATTATATGTCTGTATTAGTGAATTTTGGTTATTGGGAAATATGTTATGTTAGAGACCAGTGGCGCCCCAAAATTTCTCTTTCTCCTCTCTCCTTCGCTCTGGCTTTTGTACGTTGGGTAAATTGCCCTTTCGCCCACAGAGAATCCCCTTCCTTAACTCGGATTGTTTTCGCACCTAAAAAGGTGAGTAAACATAATAAGAACGACAGTTCTTGTCGATACGGCCTGTGGCCGGTGATTTTGATCCTTCTTTGATCGGATAAGCTTCCCTTTTTGAAGCTATACTCCCATGGAGAGTGGTTCGAATACAAGTTTATCTTGCCATCTTCCCCTGCTTACGTAGCTTGGGTTCGAAATCGTGCAAATTGGAACTTCAAGAGGGAAATTCACATCCTTGCTCTTGACAATCTGGCGAAGGGAAGGAACCGAGTTCTGGGGAATGTCGCTAAGCCGAGATGATATTTGAGTGATGGATTCGTAATGAGTCGTTATTTAGGATAAAATCATAGCTTCCTTCAATGTTGTCCGCTAAATCTCTCTCTGCATATTCGGATTGATTTTTAGAAGCCCTAAAATTTATGTAGAATGATGGATTAAGCTAACATGTTCTCCTCTGCGGTGTTTGTTCGAACCATTGACGGGGAACCCCAATTCCGGCGGCCACGGCTACGACAAGTTTGGCTCTCCGATGAACCGTTACAAGTAATGAATTGCGGGGATAATCTGCCATTATTTGGTGTTTAAAGGCATTTATTCATCCTAAATAAATTAAAAACATTATTAAATTTTGTAATTATACTAATGAGTCCTTTAGTGAGCCATTATTTAGTGAGCCATTTGTGGCTAATATCGGCGCAGCAACAGCTGCAATGGCGGAGCTTTGGGCCATTTGTTATGGACTAGAGCTGGCTTGGAAGCTCGGGTTCCGTGCAGTCAGGGTTGTCTCGGATTCTCAGCTGGCGATTTAGCTAATTCAGAACTGGACTGACCCCATTCACCCTTACGCGACGTTGTTGGGCCTCATCCGCAGAAAGATGAGCCAGGATAGGTTGGTCAACTTATCTCATACATATCGGGAAGGGAATAGAACCTCGGACTAGCTCTCGAAGCACAGTCTCGTCTATCCCTACGGTATGCATGAGTTGGTGGATCCACCGTCCGACATCGGCTTATTACTTCAGGAGGATAGTATGGGTATTACATTCGAGCGCCAGGTTGTGGCGAACTCCTCTTCCTCTCTCTAATCCCCTTTCTGTTTCTTGGCCTTGAGTGCCTCCTTGCAATGCAAAAAAAAAAAAACAAAAACAAAAAATTCACGTTCATGACACTTAATTTGGAGAGGGAGGACTTTCCGAGTTTCTATAGTGAAGATGTATATTCACCCGGTGATTTTTGTTGATCCTCATTCATGAGTTTCTTTACAATTAATCTGCATTAAAGCGACCTCTTTATGGCGCTTTACGACTTTAAATAGTCGGTTTAAATTTTCATTTGGGGATGAAAAAATATTTCTTTATGACGCTTTACAATCATTAATGGTTGGTTTACATCTCATGTTTTAGATGAAAAGAATACTAAAATGTCATAATGTCATGGATCAAATTTAATGTGGGAGAGGAGTTTAAGAAGCCAATTATTGTGCTTGTAACCTATTTCCCCATTAATAACGTCCTAAACCTAAGCAAGGTGAACAAAAGGAACATTGAAGCGTTCTTTGAGTGGCCTGTAGGGTTTTTAATAGCCTCCCCAGTTTTGGGATGAGATGAATATTAACAACCTATTTATAGTGAGCTCTTAAATGATAAGCCCCGGCTCGCTGAAGCTTGTGGGACAGATCTCGCAGCTAATAAAACCTCGGCCCCGACTGTGAATTTCTGTCGCTGGTGGCGACATGCTATGCTTTCTGAGCACCCCAAAACCCACGTTCTCCTATACGTCTGCGTATTGTGGAGAAACTGGAAGTCTCGAAATAAGGTGGTATTTGAGCATTATCAGCCTCATGCCCAGTCTCTAGCTCGTCAATGCTTTTTCCAAGTCCGCGAAGTCTCTTACTCTCTCCCTCCGGCACCCGTCCCTCCCCTTCAGCCCTCAAGCTCCCGCCTCACCTCCTGGATCCCTCCTCCTGTTGGCTATCTAAAGATCAACTTTGATGCTACGGTTCGTGCTTCCGGTTGCTCGTCTGGACTAGTGGTTCATTGAACAGACGGGCATGTGGGGTTGGCAGTAGGGTTTCATCACCCAGGCATTGTTGACACCTATTTCGCAGAACTTCTTGCAGCTCGAGGCGCTATCTCCCTATTGGTCTCCAAGTTCCTTCCTTGCGTCATCATCGAAGGTGATTCAGAAGTGGTGATTCAGAAGTGGTGATTCATCAGCTTCGCCAGGGCATTTCTTCAGAGTCCCTCGGAGGTCCGGTGCTACATGATTGCTTCCAGCTCCTGTCTTCAGTTTTTGTTTCCTTAGAGTTTAGGGCAGTTCTTAGAACTGCTAACGGGGCTACCCATAGAGTGGCGCTGTAAGCCCTGTTACTTTCTCCTCTTGAGATCAGTTCCTTCGACTTTGTAGGGTGGCTTCACTGGTGTATTGGTTTGGGAGGGTTTTGGGGTAGATTGTATAGTTTTTTCTCTCTTGACATTTCTTGGGAAAAAAAAATGTTATGTTAGAGATATTTAGATGAATTATGGTATGATTGATGTTAGTTAGTTATGAATTTATATGAATTTGTTTAGTTTTCTCATGATAGATCAGTTAGTTGCGGTTGTTAATGGGTTTGGATGATATTATTTTTGTATCCCTAATGTACTAATTATACTATAGTAATCTTATTCGAGTTAATCTAATAGTTACTTATTGTAATTTGCAAACATGGGTAAATTTAAGAAGTTTCAACTTATTATTCGGTGGAATGATCGGGTGTCGAACTCGGACTTTGGGATCGACTATGAAAATGGCGAATCCACTATGCTAAAAATTGAGTCGAGATTCACATGGCAAGAATTACGTGACATTTGTGCAGAAAGGACTTGTATGGACGGGAAAAGGGGAGTTGGTCAAATTACGTACCGATATCCAAACATGAGTGCTGGCAGAGTTCTGTACGAAGAAGTTGTCATAAATGATGATGGCGCGGTGAACATGATGATACAATTCCTATTTGACAACGGGATGCGGCTTGCAGAAGTGCATGTCGAGACCGAGCCGGTTGGTGAAACTCATTTTCATCAGTATTCTTGTGATGATGGTTTTGCAGGAGGGTACGGCTGGGGTGGTAGTTCAAGCAACTACGGAGGAGGTAGTTCTGCACGAGGCTACGGCTGGGGTGGAGGTGCAAGCAACTACGGAGGAAGTAGTTATGCAGGAGGTGTTAGGTGTGAAATATACTCGCAAAATGCTGAGACTTCCCCATTCGTTGAGCCCGACGGTGATCAATGGCATGCTTGGGGGCCAGAGTTTGCTGACATTGAGAACCACCTTCGAACTGGGCGTACCTCGCATGACCGAGAAGATGATGTTGGTTATGCTGGTAACGACGATCCTCCTGAGCCGAGCTATCCATTCGCCTCCAGCGACGAGGAAAGTGAGGAAGATTTGAGATCAGTTAGTGAGGATGAAGATATGGACGAATATCGAGGATAACGAGGTGGCGTTCCGTGAGGCACTAACGCTTTACTACACAGAGGTTCCATCTCAATTTTTATATAGTCAGAACGATCCCCTTGAATTTCGCCCTATGCCTGTGTATAATCCGACTGCTAGTTTGGAGGTGGGTATGGAGTTCACTTCGAAAGTCGATGTTCAAGATGATTTTATCGAAGAAGCCATGCGGCGTAATTTCGAATGGAAGGAAAAATATTCTGACACCAAACAACTACATGTCATTTGCAAAAATGCTGGAGAGGGTTGTTTGTGGCAACTACGGGCTGCAAATATGAAGAGAAAGGGTGTCTGGGTCATTCGGACAGCAAAGAACAACCACAGCTGCTTCTCAAACATACTGTCCCAGGATCACCGGCAACTGAAAGCAAAGAAAGTGGCAAGAACCATTAAGCACTTGATCGAGGCACAACCAGATATTAAAATCAAAGCTATCATGGCCGAGGTGAAGGATCAACACTCCTACACGATCAAGTATAAGAAGCCGTGTCATGGGAAGCAGAAGGCCATGGCTGAGGTCTATGGTGATTGGGACGGCTCGTATGCTTTACTCCCTAGATTAATGGCTGCAATGGAGGAGTCCAACCCTGGGACTGTTTTCGTGCCCTGTTACAACAATGTATACACTAAGGATCAAGTTCGAGTACAGAACAAGTTGATGTTTCATCGTCTGTTCTGGATCTTAAAGCAATGCATTGACGATTTTGCTTTCCGCATGCCAGTTATCCAGGTATATTATGGTCTAAACACTATTGTTGTATTTTTTTTAATA